AAGAGAGCCCCTTTGTGACTTCCAAAATCACAGGTGGGAAAGGAGTTGCACTGCCCACTAGCTCTCTGCTCCATTCCTCCTGCGGCCACCAAGGGGAGGGGAGAGCGTGTGGACGTGGCCCAGGGCTCTTTCTCCACTGCTGGAATGTGCAGAACAATGTGTTTCTATCCCTGGGTATGCCCGGCTGGGCCAACAGTAAAATTAGTTTACGTGCCTGGAGTACACATGGGCTCAGCAGTGGGTGAGCAGCCTCCAGGGAGGAGGTCTAGAGCAGAGGGATGGGTGCGAGTAGACTGAACCTGAGTTCACATAGACAGGGTGCACAGATTGTTGTTCCCTCAGGTGGCTGTGGCCTGCAGAGGCTCAGGGATGCAACAACCCAGCAGGATTGTCCCACAGGGTGGACCCTGAAATCCCCACTAATGGCTTTCATGGGACAGATTCCTGATGTTTGAGCTTCTGACTCTGTGCCCTATTTGTGAAGTGGCATGGGGGCTAGGAGCCTGGTCAGCCCCTAGACTTTGGGCCTGTAGCCTCAATGAATCATTTTCTCCATCTGTAAACTTGGAGAATTTTCCCACCTCGGATTCATACACAGGCACCTGCTTACTATCTCAGGAGCACTGGGAACCAAGACCCAGCGTACCCTCCCTCCCTTCCACAGACATTTACTGCTATGCACCAGTCATGGTGCCAGGAGCTGGGCAACTCAGCGAGGATGCCTGCCCTTGAAGAGTCAACAACTCAGAGCTGAACCCACGTCAGTCCCTCCCCTGCTTCCTCTGTAGAAGACAAGGCGTAGGGTCTCCAGACTCCTGGTAAAGGGGCACAACTTTTGATTTTCCAGAAACCTTGTGCGAACCAGAGAAAAGAAGGGCTTCCCCTTGGGAACAGTTAGAAGAAGGGCCCAGTTCCTCATCCAAGCCTGAGAACAAAGGCCCAGGAAGAGGGCAGAGAAACAGACTCCCACATCTGAGCAACAGTAAAGGGATATATATCTTTGGATTAGAGGCAGTATTTTGTTAACCGATAAAGGCAGCCAGATCAAGAATCTGAGCCCACTCCCAGGGCTCAAGTCATTCCCAGACACCCCTCAGACTCACCACCCAGCTGAGCTTGTAGGTGTCAAAAGCCTCAGCCTAATGCTTCATAGTGACCTAGACCAGAAACTGAGTCTACCCATTCTCTAGCTAGAGGTCAGCCTTTTAAGAGACTGTCTTCTAGAAGGTACTGGCAGGAGCAATTTATTTTGAAATCTGGTCACATGCCAGGCTCTGATTTTGTGTTTTCTTTTCACAACAGCATTGCTGTGTTTATGACTTGATCCAGATGAAGTTATTTATTTATTTATTTATTTCAAAAAAAGGTATCGCACCCTTCTGTTTGATGTGTTGTGGGCAACAGTTGCTAAGGAGAGCTGGGTTCAGTTACAGACACAGTGATGCCTGCTCTAATAATACTTTGCTCCGCATAGTTCAGATGCAGACACCTCTTGGCTAAAACAGGCAATGGATCTCCACAGAGGAGGGTTTGCACTTCTGCTACCCCAGGCTATCTCAGCAAAGGAGGGCTCTCTGGTCCTAAGTGGAGGACCTAGGGCGGTGACAGGGCATTGCTGGGTGGAGGGGCTCAGGCCTCCAATTCCTGTCATTCCAAAGGTCCCATAAAAAGAGGCACACTCATTCTTCACTTCTCTGTGAAACTGGAGCCGTCCTCCATCCCAGGACTGACCACACCGCAATTCCCTGCTGAGGATCAAGGGAGCCTTTTGTTTACTTCTGCCCTGGGCAGCCCACAGTCTCCTGGAAGTCGGACACCGTCAGTGCCCATAACCTAGTTAGCAGGGAGCTGTGCAAACACGGAACCCTGGCGGGAAGGGGTGGGGTGGGGTGGGCAGGACGAGTTGCAGAGCTAATCATTTCTCCAGCTTTACTAGGTGGCCCAGAAGCTGGCCCAGCCCAGCAACGTGGGTAAAAGCGAAGCCCTTTTTCTAAAACACGTGATGGCTATTCCAACAAATAGCTGAGGCCAAGAAAAAGGAAAAGGGCAGGGGGAAAGTTGCTGAGGACACGGGGCTGGTGGGAGAAGAAAGGCAGCTCTCATCTCCTTGGGGTGGAGTCTCAGGATGATGGCCAAGAGGTGTGAGAAAGACACCTGGGGTGATCGAGCTCCCTCATTGCACAGAGAGGAAACTGAGGCTGGGGGAGGTGAAAGCTTTGCCTTAGGAGTTGAGGTCTCCCTCTCCTGTTCTCCTACCAGCCCAGGCTCTCAGTCCTTCACGTCACTCAGCAGAGTCCAGTACCTGATAGGTAGTTTTTCACTTGTGCATATTATGAAAGGCAGGCCTAACTGGTCCAGGAGGACAGCGGTGGGATAGTCTTAGCAACTCTGGGTCACCTCCCTAGCACTGGTGCTCAACCCAGATTACCTGAGAAGTCCTTATTATTATTTTTTTTAGTGGTAATGGGGTTTGAATTCAGGACCTTTCGTACTTACGAGGCAGTCAGTACTCTACAACTTGAGCCAGCCTCCAGCCAGTTCTTGCTTTATTTTGTTATTTTTCAGACAGGGCCTCATAATTTTGCTCGGCAGATCCCCCTATCATGATCCTCCTACTAGTGTCTCCCACATAACTGGGATTATAACTGTTAGCTACCACACCTGAGATGGGGTCTCAATAACTTTTTTTGCCTGGACTGGTCTTGAACTTCCAGCCTCCTAATCTCTGCTTCCCAAGTATAGCTGAGATTACAGGCATGAGCCAACACACGTGGCTAGAAATTCTTTTAAAATGATAGCCAGGCCCTGTCCCTGGGGAATCTAATTCAACAAGCTTGGGCGAGGACCCCAGGCTAGCTTATTTTCAAAGCTCTCCATGTGACTTAATGAACACTGCTGAGAATCACTCATCTCAGGATGACCCAGTGTCTGAAATTCAGTATTCTCAGACTGGGTCCCCACTGGGACGGTTATATTGATAAGATCAGACAGAGACTTGGTCCTACCCTTCCAGGGGTGCTGAATAGGAGTGAGTAGTGACCTATGGGAACAAGCCACAAATGCCTGGGCTAGGCATATAGCCTTCTTTCACCTCTTTGGGTCAAGGGGGACAGCCTCAGAGCCCAGAATGTGAATTGTGTCTACCCTCCAGGGGCTCCCTTTTGCCCAGGACTATGGCTGTCCCAGGCCCACAGCCTAGGAAAGCAAGAGGGAGGCTTCTGGTGCTCCCTTCTAATGCCTACTTCTCCATGACCCTGAGGGCCTGCCAGCACCAGGTGCTGGGCTGATACCAGGACACAGAGATGCACAAGCTGAGGTGATCCAGAGCTTGAAGGAGATGGGTAAACACCCATTTGCACTGTGTCACCTTCGTTCATGTGGTCACTTGGTGAGGCACCAATCCTTCCTGTACACATCTAAAAGACAAAGCTGCATCTGTGCACTGCCCCCAGTATCCTCAGCCCTAAGACTGGTGCCTGGCACATATAGATCTCAGTCAATGCTAGTCAAGTGACAGAATATTTGTGCCTACAGTGTGACAGGCACTAGGCCAAGTCCAAGGCCAATTCTGCCCCATGAGTTCCCTGTCCCTGGTGGTACACAGCAGACAGGCTTTTCCCTGCCCATCACCCTCTACGCTCTCCCAGGACATTCCGGCCTGCGAGGAACATGCTCGATGTGCAAATCCCTCAGGTAATGCGGGAATTCATCACCAGGGGAGTGTGGACGATCCAGGAATGGGAACCTGATCAGGGCCTGGAGCTGAGAGACGCAGCCCAGGCTGGCCAGGGAGGCTCAGGTTGCAGTGAGCGAGACACACAGAAGAGGAGAGGACAGGCAGGCATGGGGCCCTATGGGCTACAGGTGGATGGCCTAGCAGTGACCTCCTCCTTGCTTTCAGGGAAGAGATAGCACACCATGAGCCAGACGGTTGAGATGAGGGTGGCTATGGGCTCTTGTGTATGCCTGCTGTCCAGACACAATTATGAATGGAGTCCCTTGACTCTCAGAACACAGCAGCTTGGATGACCTGTATATGGTACCCTAGTTACCAGAGACCCACAGGTGGTCTTTTCTGCTCTGTAATCCTACTTTTACAACCTCCAAGCGATCACTTACATTACCTGGGTTGGTAACTCGACTAGTCTTAAAGTACAAAGTGGCAGGAGAGATGGCTTTTCTTAGCCTAGGGCCTCCAAGGACAGCCCTCAGGCCTGTCCTTGCCATTATCTCTGATGCCACCAGTTCTGGAACCATCAGTCCATCTGCTGTTGCCCACAATAAAAGGGTGGGTACTTGTGAAATGAGACAGGGCTGGGCTAGTCTAAGGCAGACACCCACACCCACAGTACACACACTCGCCCATAAGACCATGGCTGGGTGCTGGTGTCAGGAATGAGCAGGGCTGGGGTTAAGCTCTCTGGAGATCAAGGCATACAGAGCAGGAAAATACCAAGCAACAAGACGATCTTGGTTGCTATGTTTCCTTCTGCCTAAGACCCCCAAGTGCATCAGTAGACAGATATCCCGGGCCTGTCCCCCAAAAGCTGGCTCAAGCCCATCTCAGTCACAGCTTTACCAGCTATACAGCTAAACCAGGCTCTCTGGGGCTAGCCCTGGGGAGGGGGAGGGGGGGGAGGAGGAGGGGGAGGGGAAGAGGGGGAGGAGAGTTCCACAGCAAGTTCATGTCCGATCAGACCTGCAGAGGTCAAAGCACAGAGCCAACAGCCAGCCGTCTTATCATGAAAATAGAAAGCGGGAAAGGCTGGTTGTCCAAAAAGCGCCTATAAAATTATATTGGTCCTTCGTAACCATGGAGCACTCCTGTAAACAGACACACAAATCCGGCCGCCCACCCCTCACCCCTCACCCGCCTTATTTTCTAACGTTAGTTGGGTGAGGGAGGAGGAGACTTGGGACAAGTCGGGCTTGCGGCCGTCTCTAGCAGTGGCCTGCCGCACAGGGCGGGGACGCGGGTGGCAGCGTCGGCGGCCGGTTACCTGGAGCATGTTGAGCAGTAGACTGCGGAACTTGGTCCCCTCCACCATGAAGAGCGCCATCTTGTCGCAGAGCTTGGCGGCTGTGAAGGCGAAGCTGCGGTCTGACACAGCCTTCTGATAGATGGTCCGCACGATCTCCCCCAGCATCTCCTCGGAGTTGGTGGAGTTCTGGGCCTCCTCCATGAAGGTGGTGAGCTTGGCGTCCACATCGCTGCTGTTGTTCCGCGTGCTGTTCAAGATCTCGATCAGTTTGTCCATCTTGTTCTGCTGTGGGCTGTCGTCTCCACTGCTACTTCATCCTGGGAGACAAACCGAGGGCACCTGTGTTGATGCTGAGCTATCACTGTGGGGGGCCTGGGCAGGGAGTGATGTCACTTCCTCCAGAAAGGACCTGCGGTCTGCTTCCTTTGGGACTGCTTGCCTTCACCCAAGTCCCTCATGCCCCAAATGCTCTTTGATGACTTTTTTTCTTGGCCCTCTGGGACATCCTGGATTGCCATTCCTTGCAGTTCTAGCTCTTGGCCAGGATTCTCAGATACACTGGCTTTTTGTTGTTTAATCTATTTGTCCATCAGATGCCTTAATCTAGAAATGATTTAATGGGGTTCATAAAAGATGAAATACGATGACACATAGGAAAGTGGGTCAAACAAAAGGTGAGGAAAGGAAGATCAGGCCAGAAAGGCGAATAGGATTCCAAATGTTTCTGGTAGTGGTCAGATATGGTCTGGGGGTGACACCTGTGGGTCTTCCACATCCTCTGCTGCAAATGACCAAGGACAATCCTGTTCTTTGGGTACAGGGTTCCACATGGACATGACCCTGGCTTTGCATATGAAGCAGACTGTGCTGGCTGGCTCTCCTCACACAAATGCTACACACCCAGGAATCTTCCAATGTGCACTCAAACGGCTGGTGCTTCAAGGAGGACATTTTAGGCAAAACCCTAGGGCCTTATATGAGGTTTCATGGTACCTGGGACCAGACCAGGGGCTGGAACTGGCTGTCTCAAAAGTATGTACTCAAACACAAAAGATGGGAGATGAAGAATATGACAGAGTTCACTGCTGCGAAGTGGGATTGGCCGAAGGGCAGGATTGGGCATACGATGAAATCCTGCATTGTTCTCAACCTGGGAGCTGGGGGCTGGGAGTCCTGAGCAAGCTTCTGTCTCCTGTTCTCTGCCTCTGGCCATGTGCACCAGGCAGAGGGTTCCCCCTCTCTGAGCCTCTGTTTCCTTGGGAGTAACATGGTGATACAGGATGAGAAGGTCTGGAATTTTTCTTGAACCCTACCATATGGGGCCAAGTGCAAGGGCAGCTGCTTTCACACTTGAGGAACGGATCTCATATGAGGGTAGAATCCTGGAGCCTGCTCTGTCCTTCCAGCCCTCTTGTCTACCCACCTCTGCAGGGAAGGCTGCTTTGACTCCCTGAGCTGGAGCAACATGGATGCAACTCTGCAACCCCATGGCCACATGACACTTTCCCTGTATCTTGAGGGGACAAGAGAGAAGTTGCTCTCTTTGATGATGGTTCCTTTCCATCCTATACCCCTGGCAGACAGGAGGGTCTGGGTGATGACAGTCAGTGCAGTGACAAATCCCTGTTCCTTTTCTGGTAGCTTGGGGCATCTCTTGAAGTCATGGCCCTGGCTCTAGAGCCCAGGGCCAGGACCAGGGTGAGGAAAGCCAGCATCATTTCCTCCTAGTTAATTAAATCCATGTTTCCCCACATGTCCTTAGCATGATCAGGGCAGAGTCTGACCCCACAAGAGCTCCTGCACCCCTTCCTCTCCACGCAGCCTGGGGTCTGGTTAGCAAGTGCCTATCCTGGGCCTTGTAAGGGACAGAAGGTGATAAGCTAGAATGTGCTGGAGGGGTTCATGCAATCTGGTCATTGGTCATGGGTTTGCCCTTGGGTGGCCCAGTGGTACCCATGGCAGTGGGGAACTAGTGTACTGGGTCCATGCAGTCACAGAAGCCCCGATTTTACTCCACATAGCTCCCGCACCCTCCAACCCATGAGGCTGCACCCAAGCCCACTAACCAAAGCGCCTACCTCTCGGCTGTCCTCCCGGGTGCAAGAGAACAAGGAAGATTCAATTACCGGTACCTTTTCTTTCAGTCTTCGGCGCAGCCTGTCTTTGGAAGACTGGAGCAGGGTGATTTTGGGCCGCTCCCCGATGCGCTGGGGAACAACACTGTCTTTACGCTTTGCCTCGGCCTCGGGCCCCCTGGCGGTTGTGGGGGGTGCCTCTCGGAAGCCATCGGGCTGGGGCGTCAGGGCTGCGGGGGGGCTCAAGGCTGCCATGCCCTGTGTCCCCTGGGATGTCCTCAAGTTTGGGGCTCTCGGTGTTCACGGTCTCTTTGGCGTTGCGATGGGTGCCTGCCTCCCCTTGTCGCCTGGTGGGTGCTTCATGTTGCCGTGGTGCCAGCGTCGGTTCTGGCTATAGCCATGGTGGGTGGGCCTCCCTGAGGGGTGGGGCACTGAGCCCCCCTGGTAGGATTTCTGGTGGTCTCTGTTGTGTTTGGCACTGCCTGGCTGGTGGTCACCATGCTGTTGAGGCTTGTTTCCCCCTGGAGGTCTCTGTTGCCGTCTGCAAACCAAAGAGAGAGTGGGGGGGTCACTGGGCAAGCCACCAGGGTCCCTGGCACAAACACTAGAACAGGAAGTTAATGCCTGGTCCTTTTTGTATTCATTCAACAAATGCTGAGAATTTTCTATGTGCCAGGCTCTGACAGAGAATAACCATCAGAGGGAACTTAAGTCAACTCTTCACTTAAAATAACCATTTTATTCACTTATTAGAGTATACATGAAAACATGCATGTGCAACAAAACCTGAAAGACCCAACAAAAGACAGTGAGCTCTCTCTCCTGCCTCTGTCTCCAGCCACCAGAGTTACCAGAAAACATTCTGAATGCTTGCTCAGTACTTGACTATTTGGAGAAGGCAAATAGAGGTGATCACGTTAAACTGACACTGTCATGGTGGGCCTTAATCCAGCCTAACCGGTGTCCTTATAATGAGAGGAAATTTGGATGCACAAAGAGAAGACAGGATGCCAGGCACAGAGGGGAAGGACCATGTGAGGACACAGGGAGAAGGTGGCCATCTGCAAGTCAAGGAGAGAGGCCACAGAAGAGACCAACCCTGCTGACACCTTGATCTTGATCTTGGACTTCCAGCCTCCAGAACCAAGAGGAAGTAAAGATAGGCTGTTTTAGTCACCCAATTGGTGGCACTATGTGATGGGAGCCCCAGCAAAGGAATACAAAGTGACATTTAACAAGGTGGCTTTTTAAGTAAAGACAGGCTCTCCAACCACTCGTCAGACAGCCCACCCTTCCTTCCTCCCTCTTTCCTTCCCTCCCTCCCTCCCTCCCTTCCTTTCTTTTCTTTCCTTTCCTTCCTTCCTTTCTTCCTTTCTTCTCTCTCTCTCTCTCCCTTCCTTCCTCTCTTGGTGGCACTGGGGTTTGAACTCAGGACCTTGTGCTTGCTAGGCAGGTGCTCTAGTACTGAGGCACACCCTCACTCCCCAGCCAATACTTTCTCAGCAGAGAATGGCACAGAGAGCAGTTGTGAGCTGTGCACTAAGAGACGAACTACAAACGCTTGGATTTGTGGGTGGAAGGCAAGCAAAGGGGCGCAGAGGGGTGTTCTCACGATCTCAGGCCTGTGGGTGAGGCTGCCTCTCTGCTACTCACAGCATTCGTGGCCAGTCTCTATGTCCTCCTCAGGGGTCTTCCGTGCAGGGGGAGAGTAAGTCAGCCACGCAGCTCTCAGAGTTATCAAGGAGTAAAGAAACTGGAGATGTGCAGAGGAAGTCCACACCTCTTCCGTGGCCTATCTCCACTCCCACTTGATTTTTATCACAATTGCATTTGATGAACAAACTATTTATTTACTTTCAAGAAGCTGCTCACTACTCGTATAATTTTAGTCCACTCACTTTCAGTGTCCACTTGATAAATTTTTATCTGTGAAAATTTGGGGGTATCTTGAGTTGGGATCAAATGCATTATCTCTTTCTCATTAAAGTTAATAAATTCTTTCTCCCCCCCCATACTTAGTGGCACTGTTTCATGGGAACTCAAATGGTTAATTGAGGACAGACACATGCCATATTTTACTCCCCACACAAATAGTAACTTACAGCACATTGTACATTACGAGGAGAAATTAGAATAATCATTCTGGAGGGAAATTGGACAATTCGTTTCAGAAGTCTCTAGAACAAGCAACCAATGGTCTATTGCAATTCTGCCTGTGGCAACATATCCGAAGGAAATAATCAGAGATGCGGATAAGGACTGAGGCACAACGGAGGTCATAACGGCAAGAACTGAACGTGCAGGAGTGAAGGATATGGCAAGAGTTCATGCTTGTCGATGGAAGTGTAGCGTCGTTCAAGACCAAGCACTTCTATGCGTGGAAAAATCTGAAGGGTGCACACTAGCATCTAATGATGGGTATCTCTCACAGACGGGATATAGATTTTTCTTTTTAATTTATGCTTTCTAAATGAATATGATTTTTTATAAAACATTACTTGTTTATTTTTCTTGAGACATGGTCTTGCTTTTGTAGCCTAGGTTGGCCTAGAACTTAACAGCCTCTTGAGTGAGGGGATTAAAGACCTCTGCCATCACACCCAGCTATTACTTTTTCAAATTTATTGTGAGGCTATTATAGATTCACATGGTACAGGGAGCTTATTAAGCCTTTACTCAGTTTCCCCCAACGGTACCTTTTTACAAAACCACAGTACAATATCAGATCCAGGACCAAGATACAGAATATTTCCGGCACCATGCGGCCCCTTCTGCTGTACTTTTTTAGTCACACCCACTTCCCTTCCACCACCACCATCCTTAGCCCCTGACTCACCCATCTCCATTTTTTTTTTGTTTTTGTGGTACTGGGGTTTGAACTCAGGACCAACAACTTGAACCACTCCATCAGCCCCTTTTCTGTGATTTCTTTTTTTTCAAGATAGGGTCTCACGTACTATTTCCCAAGATTAGCTCTGAACTACAATCCTCCTGATTTCTGCCTCCTGAGTAGCTATGATTACGGATGTGAGCCACCAACACCTGTTCCATCTCCATTTTTATGATGATGTTGTCATCTTAAGAATGTTGTATAAATGAAACCTCACATTTTGGGATTGGCTTTTTCCCCTCCTACTTCCCCAGAGACTCATCTGGCTAGTCCTTCATGGAGGGCTGGTTCCTTCATTGCAGAGCTGGGTTCAGAGGCATGGACGCACCACCGTGCCCTTAGCTGAAGGTCGTCTTGGTGGTTCCTAGATTGGGGCTACCTTGCAGAAAAGGTGTTCATTTCCCTGGACAAATACACAGCAGCTATACATCTAGCTCTTAAAGAAACGCCTGATCTGTCTCCAGAGAGGCTGGACCATCTTCCTTTCTCATCAGGAATGCAAGCCACTATTTTCTTTGAATGATTTTCTTTTGGCTACACTTTTTCCTCCAATTTCTGGGATTTCAGTGGTCTGCATGTTTGGCTGTTGGTTACAGCCCCTCGGGCCCTGGAAGCTGTTCTTTCTGGTCTCTTTCCTCTGTGAGGAGCAGACTGGGTAATATCCATTCTGTTCTCTCAGTCACTGGTTCTGTCCCCTCCACTTTATAGTTGAGGTTGTTTTTTTTTTTTTTGTGGTGGTATGGGATTTGAACTCAGGGCTTTGTGCTTGCTGGTGCTTGAGCCCCTTTTTGCTCTGTTTATTTTGGAGATTGGGTCTCACTTTTTTCCCAGGCCAGCCTGCACAACCATCCTTCTATTCTAACCTTTCCACTTTCACTGGGATAAAAGGCACACACTACCACATTCAGCTTTTTTCCATTGAGACGGGATCTTGAGAACTTTTTTGCCTAGGCTGGTCTGGAACCACCATCCTCCTGCACAGTTTGGGATGGACAGGCATATACCACTGCACCCAGTTATTTGTTGATATGGGGGGTCTCATGAATTATGTTTGCCTGGGGTGGTCTCAACTTCCATCCACCTTATATCAGCCTCTCAAATTGCTAGGTTTACAGGTATGAGCCACCGTCATCTGGCTGAGTTTTTAACTTCTAAATTTCCATTTGGTTCTTTTTTGTATCTTCTCTTTGTTGAGACCTATTTCCCTATTTCAAATGTATTCCTAGCTGTTCTTTGAAGTATTTTTTTATGATGGCTGCTTCAAACTCTGTCTACCATCTTGGTGTTGCAGCTATTTCCTTCCCTTCCCACCTGCCTGCTTTCCTTTCTCCTCCCGCCCTTTCTTTTTTTGGGGTCAGTACCTTGCTATGTAGCCCAGGCCAGCTCCTTCTGTCTTGGCCTCCCTGAGTGTTGGGATCATAGCTGTTGACATCTATTAATTATCTTTTATTTCTCATTCCATTTGAGATCTTTCTGGTTCCTTTCAAACAAGCGATACTCAACTGAGACTTGGACATTGGGCTTTAGGTTGAGACTCAATTGAACCTTGCACCTCGCTGTGGTTGGTCACTGTGGAAATGAGGGGAACTGTCTGATTGTGCCCAGATGTGCCCTGGGCCCGCTCAGGGGGTGGTTTCCATCCATAGTCCATCTTGATGGGTTCTGATGGACATTCCTGGTCAAGGACAGAGCTGCCTTGACATTCAGGTAGACAAGGTGGCCCCTCTACCCCAAAACAGCCTCCACATACAACCTGGCATCTCTAAATATTCCATCTCGCTCCCCAGTGTGTGATGGTAGGGTTGGGACCATGAGTATGGGTCCAAGGCTAGCAGCCTAGGTCACAGGCCTGTGACATTTTGCCATTACCTCTTCCTTTAAATTTTCAACTACTTTTAAGTAGTTGGCCCTTCCTCCTTCCACCTTGTTCTTTAAAGGGAGTTTTTTTTTTTTTTTTTTGGTCCAGAGGGCAACCTTGGAAATTCCCTGGCAGATAATGCTTGATTCTCACAACTTTTGTCATCCTTATTTAGAATTTTTGTGATGCCGGTAGCCATGGCCCAAGAAATGTCCCTAAAGGATGGCTAATCAAGCCCTTCCCAGCATCTTTCAAATGGTCTCGTTTCCCACTTGACTATTCAGGGATTTCCCTTTTTCTGCCCAATAGTGTCCCCCACCCCCTGCCCCTGTGGAGGGGGGGAAAAACGCAACTTCTTTCTATCTGGAAGAGGAAGGAAGTCATTTCTTGGTGGTTGGTGGTTGTGGGCTCCAGAAAGGAACCAGAGAGGTCTTGTGGAGCTTCTGCTGTTTGTGCCTGGAAATCTGGGGGACCTGGAATGCATACCTTCCTGTTCAAAAGCCCTTGGAGCCTGCGGCCTCATTAATACAGCAATGACCAGTGTGTGCCTGGCCCCTGAGCTGTGCTGGGTGTCTTCCCACCTATGCTTGCCGGTTTGCAGCAAGTCTGCATGAGTAGATGGCCATCCACAGGTGCGGGGGAAGCCAAGGAATCTGCCTCAAGTGTCCCCTCCTGCCTGGGTAGGCATTTGGATTCCAAAAGAAGGGCTTCTGTGGAGCTAATGGCAGGTGGGCTCAGCTATGACCCAGGGGAGACCAGGACACAAAGCTTCCCTTGCTGCTTCTCACTGTGC